AGCGTTGCGGCTGGCCCCTTGGATTGAAAATGGGCCCATCTGCAGAGAGACCATTCCAAATTTACACTCTAAAAGCAAAGCTTCACAAGTTGTGGCCAAGGCTCTCACAGAAGACCACCTTTCCGTGACCTATCCAGACTTTCTTCGAGTTTACACAGATGGCTCAGTGAATGCATCATTACGAAGCAGTACAGCTGCTTTTGTGATCCCTGAACTGCAGTGCGAATGGAATAACAAATTTCATCGCATGGTCTCTTCAACCACAGCAGAAGTTGTTGCAATCACAGAGGCACTCGTCGCACTAAGTCGTTACCATCCTAGAAACGTAGTGGTGATCACAGACTCCCGATGTGCTCTTCGGCGACTTCTTACCTGTACCGAAACGACAACCAGCAGGGCCAGGATCATTCTCTAACATATGGAAGCAAACGGATTCGTGGTGCATTTTCAGTGGGTCCCGTCTCACATTGGGATTAAAGGAAATGAAGCTGCTGATCGGTTAGCCGCACAAGCTCATCATCGGACCCCATCGCTCGAACCACCTGACGACCCTCGCCAACATAGAGCAGCTGTTCGCCGACACATTGCGTCTTTGCATCTAGATACGAATACTCACTACCCATGCATAACGAAGGGACTATCGCGCCTGGAAGCTACAACCCTGTTCCGATTACGTACAAGAAGTGCTAGGACACCCGCGTGGTTATACAAGATTGGAGTCACGCAGTCTCCGCTTTGCTCAACATGTGCCGTCCACTGCGACCAAAACCACCTGCTTCTGGAGTGCCCAAACTTTCAATCACAAAGAGATACGCTTTTCCAGCGTCTCCGGGCGATCGGCGTGGCACATGCAACTGCAGATGACCTGACTTTTCTAGCGGTTCACGATCCCACCGTGAAAAGACGCAGCGCTTTCTACTCGACTTCTTAAAATCGACGACTCTGCTTACACGTTTGTGACCATATCTCCTTAACCGAAGACGCTCCCAATGTAATTGCGTACTTTGGAGCGCACATAAGTGTTGCTTTAGGACAATATGTGTGAATGTGAATATGTATGAGTGAGGTTGTATGTGAGCAACAAGTAGTAGTAGTAGTTTATTGTAAAGTGAAAAGGGGGTAGAAGCAAGGCGAAAGGTTAGTCTCCCAGTGGTGGGGTCAGCTTTCTCGCCTTGCTAGGAGGATAGGGGGAACCAAGAGTGGTTGAAGGAGAGGTGGCGCAACAAACACTATGATACACTATAATACACTATGATACACTATTTACACTGGTATACAATATTAAACGAATTGCGTGGCTAATTGTGATCTTGGTACTTTCCTGACGTATTACAGGCTGCTATAGCCTGCGGATTTTAAATAGTCAAGCAGTGCTCTTAAAGCTTTTGTTCTCGAATGCCGCGAACCTGTCGGGAACAGGAGTGACTTGGTGTTGCCAGCAGGAATGTTAAGCTGTTTGAGGGTGGTCACAAGTGTTTCTCGGTGGTTGCTCACCGCTCTGCAATGCCAGAGAATGTGGTCGATGTCCTCCGTGGCACCACAGGCACTGCAGGCTGGGGATGACAGGCGTTTGATGAGATGCAGTCGAGAAGCGGTTCGGGCGCAGCCTACCCTTATCCGATGAAGTAGAGCTTGTTCCAGCCTGCTGAAGCTTTTCTTGGGAATTGTGTACGGCGGTGTTCCAGCCGCAGTTTCAGGGTCAGGGTGAAGTTTCTGAATGGCTTTTTGAATAAGGCTGTTTGACGAATTATATGGATGTACGGAGATTGTTGGTGTGACATCCGCATGAGCAGCCCGTGCGAGAGAATCCGCAGTCTCATTTCCTTGAATCCCAACGTGGGAAGGGATCCACTGAAACTGGATAAATGCACCTTCGACAGCTGCCTTCTGCACTAGGGAGGCTATAGTGCGAGCTAGCGGAGATGCTCTTTCCAGGTTCGTGAGTTGCCTCAGAGCTGCTTGGGAGTCGGAGAAGATGACAAAGTGGTGTAGCTCCGCGTGCTTGAAAATTTCTTGTACGGCAAGCCAGATGGCAGCAAGCTCGGCACATGCGGTGTTCATGCAGATGTCCAATCGACCTTTCGTGTGAACTCTAAGTTGGGGAATGCAGTAGGCAGCTGTGGCGGAATTCCCACGTATGCTACCATCTGTGTATATGTGCGTTTGTCCTGCGTAGTCCGTGGTTATCAACTCTTCAGTAATAGACCGTGCTACGCAATCTGCGACCCTACCGCGCCGAGGCAGGTCAGGAATAGTTGCCAATATTTGCAGTTTCTCTTCGTCACAGTGAGGCGGAAGTGTCTCTGGAACGTTAGAAGGATAGCCGATTGTTGAACGAAATGCTTCACCCATCCTTCCCAAAAAAGAATTATGCCTTGCTATGATGCCTTCGATGAGTTTGATTGCATTAGGTGCACTGTGGAGCCTAGTGAAATGTCGAAGCACTCGTTCTTGTGCTTGATTCCGTAGTGGGGAGTCGCCGGCTTCTACAAGCGTGGGCACATTTTGTGATGAGCAGGGCAGGCCGAGGCAGAACCTTAGCGCCGTTCGGTGGAAAGTTTCAAGAGTTGTCCATTGTGGTCTTGCTATGTCGAGTAGGGGAAGTGCGTAGAGCACTCTGCTTACAATGAGACCCCGATAGAGCGTCAACAGTGATGACTGGAACGGACCCCAGTTTTGACTCGCGATGCGGTGAAGAGCACCACATAGTTTGCGAGACTCTTTCATGACGTGCTTAACAGCAGGGCGCCAGTTCACTCTGTCGTCTATAATGACGCCAAGGTATTTAACTTGTGTCCGCCTTCGAATACGTTCTCCTTCCACGCGAAGTCTTGAGAATTCGGAACGTAAACGCCCTCGTGGTCTGTAGGTGAGTGCGGAGGTCTTAGCAGTAGACAATGTGAGGCCAGCGTGAAAGAGAAATGCCGAGGTGGTGTTAAGAGCCCTTTGGAGTTGTGCTTCAACTGTTGTTGAGAGGAGCGTTGGGCCAGCACACCACAGTACGACGTCGTCAGCGTATATTGCACATTTGACTGGAAATATACTTTCCTTTGGCAAAGCAGGGGGGAGTGCTGCCATGACAACATTAAAAAGTAGCGGGCTGAGGACACTTCCCTGTGGCACTCCTTGTGTGCACTCGCGTGGCGTACTCAAATGCCTGGCCAGTCTAACTTGGAGTGTTCGTTTGTTTAGAAAAGATCGCACAAAGGCCAGGGCCCGACCTCCTACCCCGATTAATTGCAATCTCTCTATTATTATGTCGTGAGGAAGAGCGTCGAAAGCACGATGTATATCCAAGAACACAGCATGTAGAACATGTTTCTGTGCTTTGGCCTCTTCAAGAGACGAGGCATCTTCAAGATCCCCGATGGCATCTGCTGTGGATCGACCTCTTCTGAAGCCCGACAGTTCGTGTGGGAACGCGCTTGTATGTTCAAGTTGCCAAGTGAGACGGCGGTGGATCATCCTTTCCATTAGCTTGCAGGTGCAGGACGTCAGCGATATTGGGCGATATGAGGACAAGTCATTCGCGCGCTTTCCTGCTTTCTTGACAGCTATCACGGTCGATTGTAGCCAGGCATCGGGTAGTACTCCTCTCTGCCAAATGTCGTTGAAGTAGGCGAGTAGTTTGGGTCGGTCTTCTTCGTCGATGTTTTTTAGGGCCTGGTTAGTTATACCGTCAGGTCCTGGGGCACTCCGTCGACGGCAGTTTGACAAGGCGTAATTTAACTCTGATAATGTGAAGTCGTCATCAACTGACTTTTTGGGGAAGTGTAGAACGGGAGGCCTGGGTCCAAGAAAAACCGCCTTTGGTGAGTTGATGTGAGCGGTGAATTCATCTGCAAATCGTTCTCTGAGGGTAGCGAATGAGATTTTGTTTTTGATGGCGATTGCTGCAAAGTGGTCTTTAGGTGGGACTGCAGTGAGTAGGCATTTGACTGTCGTCCATGGGAGGCGGGATCCAGCGTCAGTGTTTAGTGAATTACTTCTCTGTTGCCATTGATGACGGCCAAGTTGTATGGTATATCTGCGAAGCTTGGCCTCAATTCGTCGCGATGCTGTCCAGTCTTGGGGTCGCTTAGAACGTCTAGCTATTCTTTGAGCTCGCCGGGATGCGGCGCGAAGGTTCAAATATGTCAGGTCTGGGACTGGTTTTGTTGTTGGGAGCGTTATTTGCTTAGTGGCGACTTTGAAGGCGGTGGTTACGGCCTCCTCAATCGCTGGAGGATTTTGGCCTGTTAATATCGTGCTAAGGGTTACGCGATAAACGTCCCAGTTGGTAATCTGATGCGTTCTGATCTTCCGTGGAATGGCCGTGATGGGGAGGAGCAAGATGGGCACGTGGTCACTTCCCCATGTGTCAGGTTCTGCATTCCAGACCATCTGTATTTCGGGTGATACGAATGTTAGATCGAGAACGCTGTCTGTTTTAAGAAGAGGGCGAATGAATGTTGGCGATCCGTTGTTGAGGCATCTTAAGCCTAGATCTTTCGTTACATCAATGAGCGCATTTCCCCTTTGTGTGGTTGTGTCACTTCCCCAGACAGGGTGGTTCGCATTAAAATCTCCGCACCATATAATTGGCCCAGGACAGCGTTTTCTGATCTTTCTCATTTCATCGGGATCCCATGGTTGGTGAGGACGTATGTAGCTTGAGACAACAGTAATATCACGCTTGTCCATTCTTATTGTTACGGCTGTATGTTCACCGTATAGAGTGTTCAAGTCGCTAAGGTCGATTTCCATTTGTTTGAGGTGATTCTGCACGAATATAGATGCCCTAGACTTCCCGTCGAGGTGCGGTGTCTTACTGTGATATTGGACGTATGGGGATAATCGATGAGGTCCTGGTTGCACATACGTTTCTTGAAGAGCAAGAACATTTGGTTGAAGCTCCAGGAGGCGGCGACGAAGTTCGGAAAGTCGAGGTCGAAGAGTATTAACATTCCACTGGATGATCGATGGAAGCATCTTGATACGACCTGGCGCTACCGGCGCGCGCACAGGGGATCCTGCAGCGTTGCTCTCAGGCATCGCTGTGTTGAGAATTTTTCACGATTCCGACGATAGCTGTCTCAAAGAGCATCATTCCTTGTAAAATTGTCTTCAATGTGCTTGGTGGCATTTGTGCAATGGCACTCCGCAGTGCAGAGAAGATGAAGCCTATTAAGCTATCGGCGGATGTGGCTGATTCTTGCGCTGGCTCCTCAGACACACGTCGACCAGAGAGTACATCACTGTATGCAAGGTTTCTATTTGGTCTAGTCTGGGTCATTTCCTGTTGGTCCTTCTTCGCATCTGACTTTCCTGAGTTTTCTTTATCAGTGGTTGGAGAACGTTTAGAAGAGATATTCATTGACCTCGATGCAGCTCTTTTTGGCGAGTCTTTCTTAGGTTGAATTTTTCGTCCTGCTTGCGCATGGGAACGATCTGCGTGCGTTGCTTCTTTTTGGAGCGCAGGATATTCTTCTTGTGCTACAGGTAGTTCACGTTGTGTTTCAACAAGCTTTGGTCCGTAAATGAAAGATTTTTTCCTTGTAAGTGCTGCCAGGCGTACCTTGCAATTTGCATAAGAGGCTGGATGGTCACCGAGACAGTTCGCACATTTGGTGGGAAGTGTGCCAGGGCATTCTTTGGACGAGTGTGGTTCTCCACATCTTTTGCATTTTGTTTTCCCCTTGCAGTACTTTGCAATGTGGCCGAGGGCCTGGCAGTTGAAACACCTTGGAGGTGCTTCAATGTGCTCGGTTACCTCGTGCCGTGTGAAGCCGAGGTTGATCTTGTCCGGTCGCTCGGTGTTTGGACGGAACGTTAGAACCACTCGGTCGGTTGGTTGGGCAACATCTGTTGCATTTTCGCGTCGCTGGTAGAGCCGACGAGCGGCGATCACACCGGCTGGTCCCAGAAATTCGTTAAGGTCATTATTAGTGTACCACTTTGGTACCCCTTTGATTAGACCCAAGTTTTGTAGGTACGCTTTGGGTATGGTTGCTTGTACCGGGATCCCACAAAGGGAGTGCACTTTGAGAAGTCGATGCACAGTCGGTACTTCCGAGACATCAAGTAAAAGACCTCCCCTCGCTGTGAAACGATGTCTCACGATGGGCGCGCCAGCCAGTGTCTCTACTTCAGCAGACAATTTCAGCGGGTTTTGTTGCTGCAACCGCTTATCCTCCTGCACGGGCGTTAGAAGGACTGGAACCCCTGTCGTCCTCTGTCGACGATGTTGCACTAAGGTGAACTCAGAGTCCTCTCCGGCTTCCGTCTCTTCCATTTTTTCGGGGTGGTCGTTCACTGATATCTCCTCATCATCACCGTCTCCCTTACGTCGCTTAGTTTGGGGGCTTACTTGTGTTCCATTGTAGGTATGGTCTGATTCGGTAATATCCGAGGTCGTGGCTGGGGGATGTCCATCGGCACAGGACATACCAGGTGTACCCCTGCCTCGAAAGGCCAAGGTTGACTTGAATGGGCGTCTTAAAATATACGTGTCCAAAAATTGAAACAAGAGAAGAAAAAATGGCGACCTAGTCAAATAGGATTCTTCTTCCTCCTCCATGAGCAACAAAGCCAACACATCAATGTTAGGCTAACCGCTTATTATTAAAACGTCATTCTCTCTCTCTTCTTCTTCTTTCACCTTCTATTCTCTGTAGTGCAGGGTGACGCTGCATTCCAATTTTCGATAGAGAAGTGGCGCCATTCATTGTTGTGGAAATGCTCGAGACACGTGCCGCGCGCCACTTCTGGGGAGAACATGGCGTCTGAAATCTACCTCAGAGTGTACTGCACAAAATCGCGCTACGATTTTGTGCAGCGTTGCCCACAGATGGTGCACTTTTTTTTTTTTTGTAAAATTTGCAAAGAGCGAATTTACCCGAGGAAAAGTTGAAGTAAAGAAAGAAAAAGGCTTAGGTCCCATGGCAAGAGCGGCGCCCGCTCACAATGGGCCGACGGCCACGTGAAGACGGTTAACGTAGATGGCCGCGAGTGGCGCTGGAGTTCTGAGCCCTATAGGGTGCCTTCATGTCTGTCTGTCTCAAAAGCAAAAGCGCGCGTGTGTATGAAGGCACTCTAGAGCCCTAGGAGAATTCGTGGCAGATGGTGCAATGAGCGAAGAAGAAGACGAAGCTGAGGCGGTACGCTTCTCCCGAACGTAGCACCGTAGCACTTTTCTTTGTGGTGTAGTGGTGGGGAGTCTTCACAGTTCAGTTGCCGTCTCGGTCATAAATGCAAGGAAAAAGACGGACACACACCTAATTGCTTTGCGCCGAGATGCAAGTCGGGTATACTCGGTCAACAAAGGCAGCCGGAGCACCAGCGATCGTAAGCCGTCCCTGTTTCGTGCGCCAAAGGTGGAATCGCGCAGACTATACAGTGGGAAAAATTTTAATCAAGAAGATAAACGCCACGTCGAGACATCAGCGCTGTGCGAGAGACATTTGATCCGCGCCTTATCCTTTGAGACTATGTGCACATCGTCAGTGGTGAAGAGGTTAGGATTCTATTAGCGCCGAGATGTTTCGGTGGCGCCCTTTTATGGTTTCCATCCCTGACGTCACGACTGGGATTTCCCTCGCCGTCACGTCACTAGCTGTTACCCTGGCAACTTGCCGTCAGGTGCGACGACGAGTTCGATGGTGTGTTTAAAAAGCACGGGCGCAATCCGAAAGTAACACCGCCAAAGTTGACAATCTGACAATGTTCATATGCCCATGGTTTGACCAACCGTGAAAAGCTTGCCGCAGCGACGCTTTTGTTGGCGCACATCGCTAATGCCGCAATATATTATGACTATTTTGTAGTCTTTTTGCGTAGTGTGTTGCTGGATCTCTGTCATGTGCTTGCTGTGTATGTTGATGAAGTGTATTACCACTTTTGAGAAGTCATAAACAAGTGAGTTAAGAATAATTTTTTTCATATTAGGGGTTGTTGAAGTTTGTGTTGATATTGTATTTTAATGCTTCATGTACTCCCAATCGAGGCATTTTTTCTTCATAAACTGCCTTCCACAAAAGAAAATTTGCTAT